CTGCAGGACCGGATGGTATACTCCGTAAAGTACTATGTGCTTGTGCAGACCAATTGGCTGGAGTGCTGACCAGCATCTTCAATACATCACTGACACAAGCATCAGTACCATCCTGCCTGAAAACAGCCACCATCATCCCAGTGCCAAAACACACAGTCATCAAGAGCCTCAGTGACTACAGACCAGTGGCACTGACGTCTGTAGGCATGAAATGCTTTGAGAGACTCATCCTCCAACACATAAAGGCCTGCCTCCCTCAGAACTGCGATCCACACCAGTTTGCCTATAGAGCAAACCGGTCCAGGGAGGACATCATCTCCACTGCCCTCCACACTGCCCTGAGCCACCTGCAGCTGCCGAGGAGTTATGTCAGGATGTTGTTCGTGGATTACAGCTCAGCTTTTAACACAATCATCCCTGACACCCTGATTGAGAAGCTGACTGTCCTGGACATCCCCCCCTTATCTGTTCCTGGATCGAAGACTTCCTGACTAACCGGCCTCACGTTGTGAAAGTGGGCCAGCTCTGCTCCTCCATTCTTAGACTCAGCACCGGCTCTTCACAGGGCTGTGTGCTGAGCCCGCTACAGTACGCCCTCTACATGTACGACTGCACCCCGATCCACCCCTCCAACTCAATCGTTAAATTTGCAGACGACAACACTGTGGTAGGTCTGATTACGGGTGGAGAAGAGGCAGCGTACGGGGGGAGTACAGAAGCTAGCAGAGTGGTGCATTGTGAACAACCTGAGGCTCAACACCACCAAGACCAAAGACATGGTCATTGACTTCAGGAGGCAGAGAGAGGACCATGATCCTCTGGACATTAATGGGGCATGTGTGGAGACGGTAGCCTCCTTTAAGTTTCTGGGGACCTGTATCACAGTGAACCTCACCTGGACAGCCAACACATCAGCACTCATCAAGAAGGCCCAGCAGAGACTCGACTTCCTGCGAGTGCTGTGGAGAAACCATCTACAGGAGAAACTGCTGGTGTCCTTCAACCGCACCACCATTGAAAGCATGCTGATGTACTGTGTCACAATGTGGTTTGCTCTGTGGCAAACAGGAAAGCTCTGCAGAGGGTGACCAGAACTGCTGAAAAGATCATTGGTTGCCCTCTGCCTCCTCAGGAAGTCACTGCCAGCTCTCGGTGCCTCAGCAGAGCAAAGAAAATATCAGAGGCAGTTTAGCCTGCTGCCCTCAGGCAGGAGGTACAGGGCCTTAAAATGCAGGACAAACAGACTCAGAGACAGTTTTTACCCATGGGCCATTAGGTTGCTGAATACTGCAGACATGGGTTCACAGGTCAACAACAACACATTGTTTTATACAGTTTACTTGTACTTTTATTCTTCCTTGCACCATCAGAGGCAGCTGTTTTAATTTCATCATACACATGTTGAATGATGACAATAAAGGTCTTTCTGTTCCATTTCTGTTCATGACTACAGTGTACCCATCTTCTGATGGCTACTTCCAGCAGGATAACGCACCATGTCACAAAGCTCACATCATCTCAAACATGACAATGAGTTCACTGTACTCCAATGGCCTCCACAGTCACCAGATCTCAGTCCAATAGAGCACCTTTGGGATGTGCTGGAACGGCAGATTCTCATCATGGATGTGCAGCCGACAAATCTGCAGCAACTGTGTGATATCATCATGTCAATGTGGACCAACATCTCTGAGGAATGTTTCCAGCACCTTGTTGAATCTATAACACTAAGAATACACTGAATACAAACCTACGTGCTGTCCTGCGGCGTGTCGTGGGCCTGAGAACGTGATGTTTCATTCTCTGTTGGCCCTCTCCTTGTACTGGCGGAGGTGTTTCGGTGTCACGAACTTCTTGAACCTCCACCACAGAGAAACTTCCTGCTGTTGTTCAGGCACATCCTGGGGAGCGTTGTCCTCTCTGCTGGCTGGAGAGCGGCTCATAGGTGATCTGAGACATCATCTCTTGCTGCAGAGCATGGTTTATTCTCTGCTGTGCCCTCGTGGCCTCCCTCTGTACGGTCAGTTCACAGGTCAGCTCGAGGTTGGAGCTGATCTGTTTCTGCAGCTGCTCCTTCAGCTCCTCAAGCTGAGCTGCAAACACCTCCTCCTTCTCTCTTTGCAGGCAGGTCACCTCCTTCATCTGCTGTTCTAGGGCTTGCTTATCTTCTCTAAGCCTTTCAACCAGCATCAGGTCTTTGGTGAGGGTGTCCTTCAGCTGACCCCTGACCTCCTGCAGTTTTGTCTGCAAGACGTCAGCCTGCTGCTTTTCTGCCTGAAGCTGGTCCGTCAGCTTGGTTATTTCAGCTGACTGGTCCAGCTCAGAGGGAGGTGCAGTGGAGGGCACACTTCTCAGTCTCTCTATCTCCTCCTCACACTTCAACCTCAAGCTGCGCTCCTCATGCAGCTTCCTCATTGCCTCCAGCCCCTTCTGCCTCTCGAAGTGTCTCGCTTG